GTGTGAGTTAGTGTGTGTGTCTGACTGTGTGTGTCGGTTAGTGTGTGTGTCTGACTGTGTGTATGTCTGACTGTGGTGAACAGCATTACCCCAGATAGCCATGCCATGGAGCCTATTCATGTAACGAAAGACTATGGGAAAGACTTTGGCTCCATGGCGTTTGAACTGTATGCATGTGATCTGAGCGCCATCCGGTAATAATGTGCGCTCAGATCTAAGCTATCTGGAGATAGGTAGAATGTATATGTTTTGTGCAACAGTTGTAACTTTATACATTTTTATGTCTTTTACTGTCTTTTACTGCCATGTGGTTAATGGAGTTTTGCCTCTGTCCTGGGAGATAATTGGATTACTTCCCAATTATCTCCAGGACAGAGGGAGGGAAATTAGGATGCATTGTGGGGATGTTTTACCTCTGTGTGTCTGTCATTGGTTCATGTCTGTCCTTTGTCACAGTCTCCCATTTGGTCCCCTAGGGGAGTGTCCACCAGCTGGGAGAACTGCATAAATACTGGGCAGGTAGCCCTCAATAAATCAGACCACTGCTTGACCCTCAACACAGAGCTCTGTCTCGTCATTGGGGGGATTTACTGTATGCTGTTAGAGACTGATTGCCAGGAGTGTAAGGTGCTTTTCCTGTTCGTTTGCTAGCAGCTATTCGTGAGGTTCCAGTTCGGGAGTTTGGAGTGCTACTTTGTATGCAGTTCGGGAGTTTGAAGCATTCCCTTGTATGCAGTTCGGGAGTTTGGAGCATTCCCTTGTATTCAGTTCGAGAGTTTGGTGTTCTGCAGTAGCTGTGCCTGTGTCTCTGGAAGGGAAGATCTACTAAACGGTGGTTTAACCCTTTTATGCCTGGGGGTGCCGTTACAGTTATTTTGTTAGACTACCCCACATGCCAGTTTAACATGACCTGTTATAACTAACAATACTTACTCATCTTCTGGCATAAATTGCACCATCCCGTTTGTAGCGGAGCTGCAATATTAAATCCCAATGTCTCCGCTGGTAAAATAAATTAATCCAAGGAAAGCGCTGAAAATGAAGGCGATATCCCAAATCCCCCACAGTAACCAGACGAAACACATTTCTGGCAGTCAACTGACGATTTTATTCACAAGCTCCAGTATTTATGTGGTTGCCCACGCAAGGGGTTTCCTTAATTACTTTACAGGGGTTGTACAGTAGGGGACTACATGGGGAACTGAACATACAGGACCTTTCTCCCACCATGCACTGCTGTACGAGAGGGATACTCCCATAAGAATATCCTGTTAAGTGGATTATCCCTCCGTACAGCAGAACTGGCATTTTACTTAAAAATCCATAATTTAAATATTATTCATGCCATTGTACCGAATGACCGTTTGGCAGATAGCTGGGGTCTGAGCGCGTACTTTGTGAAAGTACCACTCAGATCCCAGCACAATTAGCCAAACGCCGCACGAAATACACTTTAATATAAATTCCTCATAAAAGTCACAAATGCATAAGTGGGGAAAAAGTACTGAAAGACCGGTGCTCCCGAACGGCCTGGAAGTCCAGCGGTGTTCGTGCCGTTGAGTAGCCGATTTTAGTTCCAGGCACTCGACGACCAAACACCGCTGTGCAAAAAGGGAATCAAAGATGGCCGCCGCCTCGTAGTCGGTAGCTGAACGACGGCCACCCTAAAGATCTATTAACTGCAGAGAGATACATTGTTGCCATCCATAATGGGAGCCACACGACCCCCTGTGTGTGGTCTCCCATTCGGTACTTTGGTCGTTTCACGAACAGTGTTGAAATTCACTGTTCATGAAGATACCATATGAATGCTTGCGGCTTTCGTGCCGCTAGCATACGAATTCTCTCGTTCACATAAAACACAGAATAGGGAACAGAGACATTTCAGGCAGTCTTAAAGCAACAATATCACATAAAGGTAAATACAGTCTTAAGTGGCTAGGATTGCCACACTGTTTACTTAGAAAAAATTGTGCAGTTTAATACGATGTCATGATACTGTTTGCTTTGATATGCCTGTTACTGCCATCGTGGCACTGCATGCTTGTTTATAATCCCTTTTGCACATCAAAAATAAAGAATTTAAACAAACAAAAAACAAAAATTTAAAATTTCTCTGGTGGGATTTAAAGAAGGCAATTGCAGCAGGCAAACCCAAGAGTATTACTGAACTGGAGGCCATTGCTCATGAGCAATGGGCTAAGATTCCTCAAGAATGCTTGCAGACGCTGGTGTCTGGCTATGCATTTAATCTGCAGCAGGTCATAACAGCAAAAGGGTGTTCTATTAAGTACTAAATATGCTTGCCAAGAAAAGGGTTTACTAATTTTGAGACTGCAGAAGTCATTATCAGTTGCATTGTCAGTTGATTTGGGGAAACCACTTGAAGCATTCGTTGTGTTGAGCTGTTTCAATTGTTTTTGTTGGATTGTTCATTGAAAACAACTAAAAGTCTGTAAAGTTTGACAATAGCCAGGTTTTCAATGGGAGTCTTAATAAAATGTAATAAAATTCCCAGATTTTACTATTAATATGACGTAAAGTCATGATTTTATTTATGACACAGAGGCGACTATTATTCCCACCCACTCTTCCCTTTGGGCAGGGACTTTGAGAATTTTTTCTTGCTGACAGGCATTTACATTTTGTACGGTAAGTACTCATAGGATGCCTGCTTTATTAAGTCACAAGTAGGTGGCGACTTGTTGAGCATATTAGAAGAGTTTTGATATATATTCCTGATTATATATTTTATACTTGTGCACACATTCGTAGAAGTTGAATCACAAACTTTTGGTATTACCATTGTTTTCTTCTTTTTTAGCTTGAATGCTTCCACCATCATGAGGTCATGGGATATGATTAGAGTTCTCGTTATCCTACAGAAGAAGGATACGTTGTCTATCCAGTTTTCTGTTCTACGTTTACAGTTTCTGCTGGTCTTCGGATCGCTACAGAGAGAAGAAGAGTTGAGGAGTACAACCCCTGATATACCACATGCCGGGTGCTGATTGATTGCACAGTTACTATGCAATGTTATGTTTATTCGTTACTCTTTCGTATATATCTCTCTTCGCTGCTGAGGGAAATTAAAGGAAAGAGAAAGCATAATTCTCGCCTCCGTGTCATTAATAAAATCATGACTTTGCATCATGTTAATAGTAAAATCTGGGAATTCTCATGCCAACCCTGCATAAATTCTGGTTTAGTGAATAAGCCCCTACTCTACTGGCATATCACACTTTTTTTACCTCACAATACACTGACTAATGCAGCAAACAGTCTGTGACTAATTCAGTGATTGAAGTATTGACTAATATGCAGTGACTAATGCAGTGAATACTTTGTTGAGTCATAGCAGGTGGAAGAAATTCAACAAGTCCATTATTAACCCCACTCTTGTCTAAAATGGTAGCAAATTAAGTATCTACAATGAAATTACATGTAAGAATCATTCAGTGACATAAATTGTAGAGAATTAAAAGTACATTCAAAGTGAATTTCAAATGTTAGGCTACATTAGCCGAACTAAAAACACAAGTGATTTGGAGAATTTTTCCATTTTGGCTACTTTAGCCTAAAATGTGAAATTCACCTTGAATATGTATGTGTATATAATATGTGTATATATATACATATAAATATATTAATATACAAGATATTACCCTTTTCAATTCATAGTTTAGTGCATAACTATGTGAATTGGAAATCATCTTCCATAGACTAAATATTATAATAAAGGGACACTATAGTCACCTGGTGAGTATAGTCAATCCCTGAGGGCTTTTTAATGTAAACAGTACTTTTTCATAGAAAAGGCAGTATTTCCATTACTTCCAAGGGACACCTCTAGTGGCAGTCAATTAGACAGCCACTACAGGTGCTTCCTAGAACAGTGCTGCACAATGTGCAGCATCTCCATACTCTGCATGGAGACGCTGAACAGTCCTCATGCACTGATTCAATGCATCTCTACGAAGAGATGCTGATTGGCCAGCACAGTATTTGGCTCCACCCCAACCCATAGGAAAGCATTGAATTGGCTGAGATTGGCAATTCTGATGATCTCAGCCGAGGAGGCGGGTGGGGTGGAGTCAGCAACGGTGACGTGACAAACAGTCACGTTTGTATTCCTGACCTAATAGTGTTCTTTTAAGCAACTGCTGTCAGAATACAAAGAGGGTTATTTCCTAAACTATGAATCATCAGAAATTTACAAGGGAATGTCATGGATTATCAGTAATGTGTGAGGGAATTTAAAGGACCAAATTACTAAATTGGACAAATATATTATATAAGTAAACTGTATCCAGCTCAGACAATTTGGCCTTAAATTTGTAATTCCCTGCAGAACAATTCATAGTTTAGTGATTAACACTATATTAGATAGAGAAAATATATTTTAAATAATGCATTGCTCAATGTTCTTGCATTTAATGAATTCAAGTACAGCTCAATAAAAAGCGTTTTAATGGTTCCATTGCAAATGTGTTCCTATGCAACACTGGAAATGTTTAATTTCTTCTCATATAGTATATGTTTATGTGTGGTAGATTGCTTATTTTTATATAGTGACTTAAGGAATATATACTACTTCCTTGACAAATATGAGTTATAATTGCATCATGGCATACTTCTACAAAAGGCCTGAATTTGTAGCGTGTGATGGACCGCCTGACACCCTGACTGGGTACCTCTGTCAAACTCACTTCCTAGCTCTGCTCTGGTACACAGCAGTGCTTCAGCCCATAGCTGATGCAGCTTGGCTGGGGTCTCAACGTCTTTTTCAACCCTGGGCCAGGGTCCTGGGTACAGCTTCAAGTGATTAAGCTGTCCTGTAGAGAGTATAGCTGATCAACCCAAAACACTAGCCCAGACTGAGTGAAGGGTGAAAAGGAACTCGTTTATTATGGCCAAGTTGCCTGCTTTTATACACAGTCCCCAGCATGGGGTCTCCATTCCAACATTATTCTAGATTCCCCTAGAAATTTCCATTTCAAGTTAAGACAAGCCCCTCCCATAGATTTCTGTGCTATTTGGAGAACTTGGGCACTCAGATCCATGCAGTATAGTGGAAACTCCACCGTGTTAAAGTTCTGACCCAATATAGTTCCAGGGCATTTGGTGCTTTGGCTGGTCAACTTTCTGGAGCTCCTGCGTCCAAAATATGGGGTGCTCCATCTGGCTCTCAGGTAGCGTTTGTTTACCTTAGTCTCAGGCACCTTCACCCCAAAAAGCGATTTCCAGGTGAGTTGCAAAGTCATTCAAAACCCCAGACCAAGTTGTCTGGAAACCGCACGGTCACCTCATGCCGAATTTAGTTCCATAACGATCATTGCTAAGTACCGCTGAGAACCATTCGTGGGTTTGGTTCATGCAAATGTCCGCCAGCGTTCGGTTTCAATCGAATGAAGGGAAAGTGCCGAACAAGGGCATCCATGGAAAGCTTTTAATGGTGGCTGGGCTGGGTTAACTCCCGAAAGGGTCTTTGGATATGGCCCATAGTCCTTGGGCAGGAGGCTAGCTAGCAGGCTCCTCAAGGAGCTCATGGCATAGGCACGTTTGCCACATGGGGCAGTCTCGAACATGGATCCTTGTTTTGCTGTTCCAAGCTTGTACTCTGGGGTTTGGCATTTGGGAACACAAGAAAAATAAGATCAATAAGTGCAACTCAAAAGTATAATAAGTCACATTTGCTCTGTGCAAACCAAAATCAGGTCTTTCAACCCATACAAGACTGCTAAATTTTGAAATTTGAATAAACCTCCTTGATCACATTTTTGCCTCTGTGAATTAACCTTGTAGGTAGATTAATTTATTTTTGTCTTCTATTATATTTCCAAATTGTAACTTTATGCACACAATACAGGTAATAGTAAAATAAAAATAAAAGGAAAATGTTTTGCATTGCTTATTAATGAATCTCTATTAAACAATAATTAGAATCCATATAAATTATATCTCTAGATTGTTTTGTTATATTGGCTGATGTTTCATTATTGTAATTTTAAATTTAATTTGTTTTATGCATTTGTGTGTGCATTTCTCCTAATATTAACATTATTCCAGATTCCCCTAGAAATTTCCATTTCATAATATACAATAAAGACAACAATTATGGCTTTGTCATTATACAGCATTATTCTGAATTACTGGTAAGGTATTATTCTGCATATTTCACGCTTTATTAAACTTTACCTAAATATCAGCTCTTGGAAAATATAGCTTTGTTTATTTCCAACAAATATTTGTGCAACTCAATGTTATAATTACTTTACATGTAATCAATGTAATTTTCAGTTTGTTTGAAGAGTGTTCAATTATCAAATACCAAAATGTGGTGAACTGGGAACCAAACTAGAACATTTAGGTTAAAATGGCCTAAACATAGCTGAGTTGGAGAATTTTTCCAAATCAGAACTTTTTGCTTATATTTTTCAGTTTGATTTACAATTCCAAACAACCCATAGGGTTTGTTATTAATGTGAGAATTATCAGTAATGAAAAGCAAATTCAAAGTAAATTTCATATTTAAGGGCAAAATGTTTAAACTGGCTACTTTAGTCTAAAATGTGAAAAGGGGGGATTCACACGCTCACAACATGCATCCACACAGACCATTCCTAAATAATTGTACTAACAAGCGGAGTATACCCCTAAATAGACTTTAAATGTGAACTTCAATATCTTGGCAAACTAATGAAAATTACATTAAAACTTAGCGTTTATTAAACGAATTTAAAAAAAAAATCTGCTTGATTGTAAATATTAAACAAAACAAAAGCGAAAAAAAGTAAAGAATGCTATGAAAACACCCAAACATATTAAAGACGACTTGAACAATCAATGTGTGCGACTAAACTTCTATATGTTATGTTTGATTTAAACCAGCCGAAGAGTAGTCAGACATCTGATAACTATTTGTTACTATTTAAAACAATAAGGTATTTGAAACAGTTTACCCATTTTAGGTTTAGTGGTGGTGTGTTGTGCTGCAAACCCAACGTATGCTATATGGTGTCAAAATAAAAATGCAACCTTTTTATTGTAATGCCAGAATGTATATATGTATGTGTATATAATATGTGTATATGTATATATATATAAATGTATTAATATTAATATTAATATACAAGATATTACCCTTTGTAAACACAGTCTCCTCAGGAGTCAGTTCTGAAGCAACTAATATAGTAATTTTGAACTGTTTTCATTAAAAATGAAAAGATATTTACAGATACAGAAAGATGCGAACGGGTGAATGTAAACTATTGCAAAGTTCAATGGGCACATTAATAATTTATAAATTGGGGCGGAGCCTAACAGCAACCGAGAGCAGTCGCATGTCGGCAGGGCTCCGGGCCGAAATCAGCAAAATTCAAGAATTTACCCCAAAAATCAGCAGTGCCGTACCAACTAATCGACAACCCAACTGCCCGACACGATGGGAAAACGAACAAAGAAACTAAAGGCCCACTCAGACGAGGGCACAAGAAGAATAGGGGACATATTTCTGGCGCGTCCTAAAAGCAAAATGGCGGCGACGCCTGAATCCCTAGGCCACTCCTCGGAAGAGGATCCACTGGATTCCCCCGGACGCCATCCCCGAAGCAGATGACCCATTCTCGGCCATACAAGTAGGTGACCTCGGGGCCCCAGCAACTAAAGGAGACATTCTGGCCCTCCTGAAACACCTGCGCACCTGGTTCCGTACGGATATAGCACTGCTTCGCGGTCACGGCCATAACAGACAGGGTGAAAGCTACAGAGGAGGATATCTCCTCCATAGCACAGCGACAAACAAGTGCAACAGAGCAAATACGACAACTCCATGGCTCACACCAGGCCTTACAGGCCAGAGTGGACGCAATGGACGATGCCAGGAGACGTGCCAACGTCAAAGTCAGAGGCATTGCAGAAACAGTTAATGACAGAGAGCTACCCCACTTTATCCAGCACCTTATATCTGAGATTATGCAACCCAAGCAGGCGAAGACCCTACAAGTGGATGGAATACACAGACTCTCCAAGTCTCCCAGGGCACGCACCCCGTGATGTCCTTCTCCGTTTCCAGACCACCCGAGATAAACAGGCCGTAATGGATGCAGTTAAAAACAAGTGCCCACTTCCATTTGAAGACTCCCAACTCACCTTCCTACAGGACCTCTGCAGAGCAACGTTGGAGTGGAGGCGATCAGTTAACCAGGTCACCAAGATCCTCCGAGAGGCAAGCGTCCAGTACAGATGGGGCCCATCTCGCACACTGTTAGCCATCCAGGGCGAGACCACCCGCCGACTCACATCAGCGGCAGACGCCGACTCCTTCCTTCGCAGTCTGGGACTCACAGGCCTCAAGAAGAAAGCCCCTACCCTTGGACATTCCTGGGACGTACCAAACATACTCCCCTTTGTACCTCGCTGCGAGGCCGACCCAGGCTGAGACACAACAAGAGAACCGGGACTTACCTTCACCCTCTCACAGGAGAGTTAGCCGATGGACTGGCAATCAATAGCAATGCGGTTAACACTTATAATTTACAGTTTTCTCACAGAATGATTAGCCAGCGTTATATTGTTATATTGTTTCTATAATTTGCAAAGGTTCCAACTTTACCCCACAAGGACAGACAGGCCGACTACATACACAACCCCCTTCCCCCCACGCTAAGGAACGCGTCCCTCCCCAGCGTTGCCACCCGCATTAAATCTCAATGGAGAATATCTCACACCCTAGGGAACAATAGACACATACACATTCCAACGGCCACCTCACTCTAGACCTCCTGGGAGAGGGCATCTGTTCCCCACGAGAACGCCCACAGAACCACCAGCTCATCTTATACCTACCATTAGGCTCAGTATAGCAAAATCCAGAGACACAAGTTGAATCCAAACGTTTAGGGTAGCTATAAGCTTATAAGACTCACCCAGTTCTTATCCATATATTATTATTTTTTTTTATTTTTTTATTTTTTTTAGTACTCAGACTACCTAGACCTTACTCCCAACTTACTCACCCTATAAACGGTTAGGTGTACCATTAGCCTGACAACATGGAATCCAACATCCCAACCTAAACATTTAGGCACAGCACGACATACTTATTTTAATAATATAAAATTTTATGCACACACTGTCAATGATATGATACTGTCATAACATGTCTGCAAATGCAAAGTCAGCTCCGCTGTTGTGGCGAGGCAGTCTTACACTGTATTTTATATGTGCAACAAAAATAAAGAATTTTACGAAGACCCTATAAAAAAAAAAAAATAATAATAATAATTTATAAATTGACTATAAACTGAATTAATATGAAGCACCTATATACTACGTCCCTTGTCTATATATATTCGATCTAAAGGGGTTGTGTCCAAAAAGCGCTGTTGAAGTGCAGCATCATGCCGTGGTATATGCTGACTGTTTCAAAATTAATCTATTTTCAGTATAGTGCCATAAACATTACAACACCACCCTGTCTACAAGTATCCCCATAATGAATAATCCCAGTAAAAGGGAATGGACATAATACATAAATAGAGCTGCTCCAAAACTATATCAAGGTTTGGCTTTAAAGAGTATCTAAATTAAATTATTGATTCATAACTTCAGCCAAATGCTGCCCGTGAACATCTAGCAATGTCCCTCACTAATTGGGTTATTTACAAAATATCAGTTTTGATCTTTCCACCAGCCCCATTACTTATTTTAAAGTTCCCCACCTGATGCCCACGGTATGTGGCCATCCAAACTTTAGTAAATAAACCTGTTAGACTGCCTTATAACACACACAGTCTCTTCATCATGCTTTAACTTTTCTTTCCTGATGTACTGACATCAGCAGAGGGATATCCCAGTTTACACAGTACTGAGTGCTCTCTCACGCTGCAGTTCCTGCATGCTGACCCTGCTGATCACATAGTGATCCGTGCTAGACAGCTGGCACAGCACAGATCATTGTCATAAGTGGGGCATGAGGGGAGTCCTTATTGGTGTCTTAACACAGCCCAGGGGTCTCACTCTGTCACAGGAATTCTCAAAATGCCCTTGGATTTTGAGATAATTACCCTGGCTGGAGACGATAATTTAGCCACAGTGATTTCAAGAACTGTGTATAGCTCTTTTTAAGCAGGAATTTAACCCTCCTTGCACCAAACTTAACGGACATTCTATGTCGTCCTAGTGGCATTAAAGCCTACTATTCTCAGAACGAGTTGGGACGTTCTAAAATATAAGGGGTTAAGGACCAGTTTCCGTGTAATTCATTTGATGTTAG